ACTTCTGGGCTCAAAGGATCCTCTTATCTCAGCCTCCTATAGCTAGGACTATAGGAGGGAGTATAGGTATTCTCCATCATGCACAGATAATTTTTTAAAAAATTTTTGTGGAAACAAGGTCTCTTGATGTTGCCCAAGCTGGTCTTGAACTCCTGGTCTCAAGCTATCCTCTTATCTTGGCCTCCCAAAGTGCTGGGATTACAGGCTGAGCCACTGCACCCAACCTGATCTGTGTTTCACTGTTGATTTGTTGAAGTTTCCTGTTTCTTCATAGTTCAAATTTGATGCGTTTTATGTGTCTAGGAATTTATCCATTTCCTCTAGGTTTTCAGATTCATTAGTGTAGAGTTGCTCATGATAGTCTTTAATGATTCTGGGCATTTCTGTGTTCTCAGTTATATATCCTTTTTCATATCTGTTTTTATTTATTTGAGTTTTCTCTTTTTCTTTAGTTTTTCTAGCTAAAGGTTTGTTAATTTTGTTTGTCTTTTCACACTTATCAACTTTTTTTGTTTGTCTTTTCAAACTTTTCAACTTTTTGTTGGTTGTCTATAATTTTTTTTTTGCCTCAATTTTATTTCTTATTTCTACTGAGGTTTATTATTTCTTTCCTCCTGCTGATTTTGGGTGTGATTGGCTCTTGCTTTTCTAGTTCCTTAAGGTTTGTCATTAGGTTGTTTATTTGAAGTATTTGTTTTTTAATATAGAAGTTTATTGCTATAAAATTCTGTCTTAATACTGCTTTTATTGTATCCTGTAGATTTTGGGGGTTGTATTTCTGTATTCATTTGTTTAAAGAAGTTTTTAAATTTCCATCTTAATTTCTTCATTGACCGATTGTTCATTGTGGGTCACATTGTTTGTTAATGTCCATATGTCTGTGTACTTTCTGAGGTTCTTGTTATTGGTTTCTAGTTTTTATTTCTTTGTGGTTGGAAAAGATAACTTGACCTGATTTCTATTTTTTTTTAATTTGAGACTTATTTTATGGCCTAAGATGGTCTGTTTCGGAGATAATGTTTCATGTGCTGAGGAAAAGAGCTTGTATACTCTGCAGCCGTGAGGTGAAATGTTCTGTAACTGTCAGGCCTGTTTGGTCTAATGTGTGATTTAACCCTGATGTTTCCTTGTTGATTTTCTGCCTGGATAAACTGTCCTCTATGGAGAGTACTGGGTTGATGTCCCCTGCTACTGTTGTATTGCAGTCTCTATATCTCCCTATTAAAGTTTGGTTTATATGCTTTGGAGCTCTTGTGTCTGGTGCACATTTTTAATTTTTCGTCTTCTTGTTGAATTGACCTCTGTGTTGTTATGTAGTGACCTTTCTTTTTACACTCTTTGATTTGTAGTCTATTTTATCTAACGTAAGTATTGTTAGTTTTCTTTTTTGTTTCCAGCTGTGTGGAATATCTTTTTCCATTTCTCCTTTCTTTATTTTTCTTTTCTCCATTTAGCCACTCTTAGCTTTTTTATTAGAGAATTAAGTGCATTTACATTCAGTGTTATACTTAAGTGAGGTCTAATGCTGTCATTTTGCTGCTTGTTTTTTGTTGTTGTTTAACTCCTATGTCCCATTTTTCATTTCTTTACATCTTCCTTTGTGGTTAAATGATTTTCTCTGGCACTATGTGTTAATTTCTTGCCTTTTATTTTTAGTGAATCCATTATAGGTATTACTGTGGTTATCCTTTGTAGCTTACAAAAAGCTTAGATATAAGGAGAGATGACAAGTTAACTAGATCACACAGGGAAGAATAAAAATAAAGAGAACATGAAAAAACTCCGCTCTGTACTTTACCTCCCTTGCCTCCACATTTTGACTCTGTTGTCTAAATTTCCTTCTTTTTCTATTGGCTATCTCTTTGCAGGTTGGTGTAGGATTTATTGTTTTTGATACATTTGTCTTTTGTGCTTCATACCAGAGTTATGCATGGAGTACACACCAGTTACAGTGTTAGAGTAGGCTGGGTTTGTCTGTGTACTTAATTTTACCCCAGTGGGTTGTTAGACCTTCAAGTGTTTTCTTTTTTCACATTAGTGTTCTTTTTTTTCCTTTCAGATTTAAGATCTTCTGTAGCATTCGTCTACCACAGTTCTGGTGGTGCTGAATACTCTCAGCTTTTGTTTGTCTGTGAAAGACTTTTTTTCTCTTCTTAATATTTAAGGGATAGCTTTGCTGGCATACTATATTCTTTGGTGATAATTTTTTTCTTTCAGCACTTTGAAAATGTCCTCCCACTCCCTCTTGGCCTACATGGTTTTTGTTGAGAAGTCTGTGAAAAGCTAGACGAATTTTAACTCCTTTGTTGTTATTTGTTTCCTTCCTCTTACTGCTTTAAGGATCCTCTCTTTGCCCATGACCTTTAAGAATTATGCCTTGGGTAGTAGTATTTGGGTTGGATCTGCTTGGTGTCACTCATCTTTTCATACCTTGATACTTCTATTTCTCTCACCGTTTGGTAAGTTTTCCGTTGTTATTTCTTTTAATAGGCTTTTTACCCCTTGCTCTTGCTCAGCTCCCTCTTGAGCACCAGTAATTTTTAGATTTGGTCTTTTGTGGTAATTTCCCATATTTTACAGGTGACTTTTGCTGTTTCATTTTTTCCCCCTCCTTTTTTTTTTAATTGCCTGTTTTTGAGTTCACTGGTTCCTCTGCTTGATCCAGTCTGCTGGTGAGAGCCTCTGCTGAAAGGTTCAGTTCTGCAAATGTATTTTTCTTTCTTGCTTTTTTATTTCAGAATAATATGAGGGTACAAACGATTAAGTTACAGTTCCATTGTTAGGTATGGTCCCTGTTGTATTTTTCGGTTGTAAGATTTCTGTTTGATTTTTTTAAAAATTATTATTTCAGTGTCTTTGTTAAATTTCTCAGATAGATTTCTAGATTGCTTTTATGTGCTATCTTGGAGATCACTAAATTCTTAAAACTTCTACTTTGAATTCTTGGTCAGAATCAGGTGTTGTGGCTCACACCTATAATCCCAGCACTCTGGGAGGCCAAGGAGGTGGATCACTTGAGACCAGCCTGAGCAAGAGTGAGACTCCATCTCTACTAAAAATAGAAAAAACTAGCTAGGCATGGTGACAGGCACCTATAGTCCCAGCTAGTCTGGAAGCTGAGGCAAGAGGATTGCTCAAACCCAAGATTTGAGGTTGCTGTGAGCTATGATGCCACAGCACTGTACCCAAGGTGACAGAGTGAGAGTCTGTCTCAAAAAACTTGGGTCAGAGAGCTTGCTGTCTCATTAAGGTCAGTCACTCATTTCTTACTCTTACTTGTTTGGAGAGGTCATACTTACGGATATGCACCTATAAAGGACTGATTTCTTTTTCTAAAGTCATCTGTTTGGCTTGTTTGATTTTATTATTGGATAAGTTTGTGTAGAGACTCTTTGTAATTTACCTTTGGATTGTCTTTCTTATCCCTCTTCCCCACTGGGCCAGTGCCTGCATTTTGGAACTAAATGGCACCTTAAGCCCTTGTTTGCCTCAGTCTAGAATAGTGTCACCTGTTCCAAATGGGAGCTGTCCCAAAAGGATTTCATGTCAGTAGGGTGGAAGGCTGGCTAGGGGTTCCTGCCCAGAGAACGTGTGGGGCGAACCTCCCACATCACACTGCTGCTGAACAATACTCTGATTTGGTGTCTCCTCCAGGCGAGTTCCAGAGCAGAGTTCCCAGGCCTGCAGGTGGTGGTTCCACCTCCCCCCTTGTCTTTGTCCTCAGCATATTTCTTTCTTCAGACATTCTCAGTACTTCTCATGGGTTGAGGTAGGGACAGAACTCCTGCTAGGAAACCTACAGTTGCAGGGAAAGCTGGTTGTCCCCCTTGATTTTACATTTTTTCAGAATAGAAACCAGGAGTTGAGAAATTTTCTGCACTTGATACTGAGCAGACTGGGGTGAGGTGTGTTGTGGGTATGGAAATTCAATTCTTTTAACATCTGCTTGGAGTTTTTTTACTTCTCTTTGGCCCCAGGAACCGTCTCCACCTCATGTTTGTGTTCTTGGAGATTGCTAATAATAATCTGTATCCTATATATTTGTTTTGTTTTGTTTTTTTCCTTTTTTTGAGACAGAGTCTTACTCTGTTGCCTAGGCTAGAGTGCTGTGGCATTAGCATAGTTCACTGCAACCTCAAACTCCTGGGTTCAAGCAATCCTTTTGCCTCAGCCTCCTGAGTTGCTGGGACTATAGGTGCCCATCACAATGCCTGGCTGATTTTTCTATTTTTAGTACAGACAAGGTCACACTCTTACTTAGGCTGTTCTCAAACTCCTGAGTTTTAGGTATCCGCCTGCTTTGGCCTCTCAGAGTGCAGGGATTACAGGTGTGAGCCTATGCCCGGCCTATTTTTGTTTTTCTGGGAGTGGGAGTGAATTCAGTTTGCTTTCACCCTGCAATTTTGGAACTGAAACCCTTAGTTCTTAAAATAAATTTAAATAAGAAAACCCAGTGGGCGAAATACATGAAATGATCACGTAAGGGCATCACTAGGATACTGATGATGACATACAAGTGGTTAAGAGCTGAAAAAGCAGTACTGTTTGATATTTATTTTTGTCTTTTTCCCCATTATAAACAGCTGTACTGACCCCTATGTAAGTAAATCTTTTTGCATGAACTAATTCTCTGTAGTATAAAGTAATAGAAAACCACAGAAATTGCACAAAGCAAATGCATTTAGAGCTCTGTTGTGTGTATGTGTGTGTGTTGGTGTGTTCTTGTGTTTTTATATAGTCTCAAATCCAGAGATGATACTCTCACAAAATAGTGAATGACAGTTTCTGTTCCCCTAATTTTTCTTGACTCTAGGCTAATTTTCTTTTCTTCAGATATGACATTTTCAGTCTCACATTTCAATAGGTTCTTTCAGAAATACATAGTATCTTTCCTTTTCAGTAGTTACTCCTGTACTGAAGACTGCAACAGTTGTTCTTTATTTTATCATCGTTTTTTATTTCGCGATAGTTTGACAATGACAATTTTCTTTTTCCTGTAGCTTGCCCAGTTTCGACAAAGAAAGGCTCGCTCTGATGGACAGAATTCTGCCAAGAAGCAGAAAAGAAAGAGAAAAACTTCAGGCAGTAAACATGATGTATCTGGATATCATGGCTTGGATACTGATCAATCACAATGTGATGAGTTGTACATAAATAGTTCTCAGAGAGTAGGATCATCCGTGACTCCTGACTCCACAGTAACAAGACCTCTACATAGAGAAATTGTCAAGCATGACCAGGTCTTCTCTGCTGAAGTAAGTATTCATCCAGGTTTTTACATATAATAGTTCTAAATGGAGAACAGTTGTAAGGGCAACAGTCATTAGCACCCTGAGCAGTTTTATCAGTGATTTTCATGTCCTTTTGAAAGCTTCATTAGTATGATAACTAAACAGTCATACCTAAAATATTTGATAACCTATAAGAAGGAATTTTGTGAGCTTAATTCACTAATTCCTTATTGAGCAACTGTAGTATACCAAGGATTGAGCACCAGGGATAAAAAGATGAATATGACCGTCTCTGCCATTGGAAAAATCAGTCTAGGGTAGAGGTGGATATGAAAATACGCAGTGTACTACTCTTCATTAGAGCTACGCTAGGAACAGTGTACATGGCATGCTAGAGTGCAAGGAAAGCCCAATCAGCCTTGTGTATGTATTTGGGATTTTGATACATGGGATTTGAGCTTGGTGCAGAAGATTGGGATTGGCAGTGAAGGTATGCTGCTCATCATAAGAGTGGGAGAGGGAGAGTGCCTCACAGGTAAGAATACGAATACACTAATAAGAACAGAAGCCTGGAAGTGTTACTGGATACGTGCTGTGTAACATTTATTCTTCAGATATAGGCAAGGAGATATTCTAGACATTCTTACCATCTGTGGTAGTTGGGTTCTAGAAGTTGCCACAAATGCTAAATAATGAATACTGATCCATTGCCTTTTTTTTTTTTTTTTAGAGACAGAGTCTTACTTTGTTACCCTCGGTAGAGTGCTGTGACATCACAGCTCCCAGCACCCTCCAACTCCTGGGCTTAGGCGATTCTCTTGCCTCAGCCTCCCAAGTAGCTGGGACTATAGGTGCCTGCCACAGCACCCAGCTATTTTTTGGTTGCAGTTTGGCTGGGGCTGGGTTCGAACCTACCACCCTTAGTATATGGGGCCAGCACCCTACTCACTGAGCCACAGGCACTGCCCTGATGCACTGCCTTGCTTTTGAGGGAAGTATAGGGTTAGGTTCCTGCAAGCCACTGATGACATTCTTATCAACTAGCTGATACATAATCTCGTTTTATGTTTGTTTCTGTTTCAAGACATCTTATTTAATGTGTATTGTTGATTCATTAACATTGAACCCATGGCCAATAGCACTAAAGCTCATACCTGAATAAATCGTGTCTAACACACAAATTTGTTCTGTAAGGTATGTCACAACTTTCCTGATCTTAGGAACACTAGACAGCATTTCAACATTATATTTGGGGGCCATTTTAAGCAGTGAAATCACCAACAAAAAGCATAAAATGTGGAAAATGTAGCACTAAATAGATGGTGAAAATTGTGAGAGCTCTAAATAGATGGTTTACATTGTGAGAGCTGGAACAAGCAGTGATGCCTCATTCTCCCTCAGCTAGGACTGTGTGTGTTGGGTGACATATTTTTTACTGCTCTACTCGTGTCCGTGAATTACCATGATGTGTTGCTACAAATACTTAATTTGTGGTTGCAAATGCATTTTATTGATAGTTGGATTCACAGTTACAGAATCTATAAATAAAGAGGATCAGCTGTATTCTCACCGTAATATGATGTGTAAATGTTACTTACCTCTGGTTTTTTTTTTTTTTTCACTTTCTTGATAGTGTCCTTTGATACAAAAATTTTTAATTTTGATGAATTAAGTTATGTTTTTTCATTAGTTGCTTGTGCTTTTGGTATGATATCTAAAGCTACTTTTGTCAAGTTTAATATTATGAAAATTTACATCTAATTTTTCTTTGAAGACTTTTTAAATTTGGGGGCTTAAATTTTGGTCTTTAATCCATTTTGAAGTTAATTTTCGTTTGTGATGAGAGGGCAGTGTCCAACTTCATTTTTTTGCATGGGGATATCCATTCATCTCAATACCATTTACTGAAAAGATAATTCTTTCCCAACTAATTGTCAATGACTATAAAGATGAGGGTTTATTTCTATCCCCTTGATTATATTCTGTAGATCTCTGTGTTAGCCTTTACTGTAATAGCATGCCCCAGTGTTGATTATTGTAGCTTTGTAACAAGTGTTGAGTTTATCGATTTCATTCTTTTTCAGGATTGATTTGGCTATTCTGGGCCCCTTTCAATCAGTTTTAAGATCAAGTTTTCCATTTCTGCATAAAAAGAAGGGAGGGATTTTTGACAGGGATTGCATTGAATCTATAGGTAAATTTGGGTAATACTGTCACCTTAAGAACAGTAAGTCTTTCAGTCTGTGAGTACAGGTTGTCTTTTTAATTTATTTAGGTCATCTTCAATCTTTCAATGTTACTTTATAGTTTTTAGTGAACAAGTCTTGTACTTGTTAAGTATATAAGCATTTTACTGCTTTTTGTTGCTGTTTAAATAGAATTGTTCTCTTAACTTCATTATCTGATTGTTCGTTATTAGTGTATAGAAGTACAACTGATGGGTGGTGCCCCTCAGTGGGTAGGGCGCTGGCCCCATATACCAAGAATGGCGGGGTCAAACCCAGCCCCCGCCATGTTGCAACAAAAAAAAATAGCTGGGCGTTGTGGCAGGCACCTGTGGTCCCAGCTACTTAGGAGGCTGAGGCAAGAGAATCGCCCAATAGCTGGAGGTTGCTATGAGCTGTGACACCACTGCACTCTATGGAGAGCAACAAAGTGAGACTCTATCTCTAAAAAAAAAAAAAAAAAAAAGCACAACTGATGTTTTTATATTGATCTTGTATCCTGCAGCTTTGTAGAACCTATTAGCTCCCTCCAGTATGTTTTTGTATGTGTGAATTCCTTAGATTTTATCTGTATGCAAGATCACATCTGCATACATTTCTTTTCCAGTGTTGATGTCTTATTTCTTTTTCTTGCCCATTGCCATGGCTAGAACCTCTTGTTGAAAAGATGTGGTGAGAGCAACCTTCTTGTATTTTTTCTTGTCTTAGGTGAAAAGCATTCCTTTTCCCCCATTGAGTATTATATAAGCTGTTTTGTTGTTGTTGTTGTTGTTGGGTTTTTTGGTAGGTAACTTTTATCATATTGAGGGAGTTCTATTCCTGGTTCATGGGTTGTTTTTATTATGAATAAGTGTTGAATTTTGTTAAAGACTTTTTCTGTATCTTTTGAGATGACTTTAAAACAAAAACTATTACTAGGACAACAGGTCCATTCTTAGTGTGAGTTCAGTTATTTTAAATACTGAGGTTTTTTATGCTCTGACATACAGCCTTATTTCTGTTCCTCAGACCGGATAATTTCAATTGATCTATCGAAGTTTGCTGATTCTTCTTACTTCTTAGATCTGTTATTCATTCTCTCTAGTGACTTTTTTATTTCCATTGTTTTCCTTTTCAACACCAGGATTTCTCTTTTGTTCTTTGATAATTTCTTTCTGTTTGTTTATTTAGTGGTATGATTCTGCTCCCTTGCTTAGGCTGGAATGCAGTGGCACAATCATCACTCACTGTGGTCTTGAACTCGTGGACTCAAGTGACCTCCCATCCAGCTCCCTGAGTAGCTGGGAATACAAGTGCATGCCACCATGCCTGGATACTGATTTTTACTTTTTTAGAGGTGGGGTCTTGCTTGTTGCCCAGGCTGGTCTTAAACTCCTAGACTCAAGGAATCCTTCAGCCTTAGCCTCCCAAGTAGCTTGGATTATAGGTGTGGACCTCTATTTGATGAGGTGTCATTCTTACAGTTTTTGTAGTTTTAAAAAATACTAATTCCTTTAGTTATTTGATGATAATATTTAAGACAGCTTTTCATCTATTAAGTCCAATATCTGTGTTTCCTCAGGGAGGATTTCTATTGATGACTGTTTTTCTGTGCATAGACCATACTTTCCTTTGTATTTGTGTGTTGTGTAGTTTTTAAAAAACTGGACATTTTATACATACAGTGTGGCAGCTCTACTGCTTGATTCAGTCTGAAAGTTATTAACCTTTTTCTACACAACAAATCAATATTTGGGTTCTTCATTACAGTTTCAGCATTTTGAATGCAACAGTTTTCTTATTCATAATTTAATTCTCAGTGCTACAGTTTCTAGTACACACTGTGCATTAAATCAATAAACGGGGCGAGGGGGTTGCATAATGACAATATTTTACATTTAAAAGAGTTATCTCCTGAGGTAGAAACCACTGTAACAGCATTTTAGAGTAGCAGGTTTCTGTTCCTGGCATTAGTTGCTACTTCCTGGAGAAGGTAAACTTAGAACTTGATCTTGAATGTTGAGTAAAATTTTTATATGTGTAGATGAGAGAGGAAATGAAACAGTGACTGTTAATGTTTGTTGAATGAAAAGGTGAATGTCTCCAAGTCTCACTTTCCTCACCAGTAAAATGAGATTATGCGCTCAGCTGAAAAGATGAACAGCGAAAGCAGTACTTTTACAGTCAGAAAATACGGATTTCTACCTTCACTCTTCCTATTACTTCCCAGCTGAGGGAAACTTGAAAAAGCCACTTACTTGACACTTAAATCTGAGGGATGCGATTAGGAACCAAGATTTCTCTTTCAGCGTACTTTTGTAAGCTGCAAAGATGTTATCACAACAAAAGTTACTATTTATTTTTCAAGTTGTTCTTTAGAATCAAGATTTTTTTATTCTTCTTTTAGAGAAATTGAGCATTTTTGATACTAGCACTTTAGGACTTTTTTTTTATTTAAAAGTAGTACAGTAGTTTCCCCTTATCTGTGAGAGATTTGTTCTAAGACCTCCAGGAGATGCCTGAAATTGTGGATAGTACTGAACCCAGTTACACTATTTTTTTCCTTTCTGTACATAATTATGGTAAAGTTTAATTTATAAATTAGTTCCCAGTACTCTTGCTCTCTAGAGCCATTATTATATAAGGTAAGGGTTGTTGAACACAAGCCCTGCAATACTGCAACAGAAGGTGTGGTAACTAAGTACCTATTGGACAGGTAGCCTATATGGATATGCTAAACAAAGGAATGATTCAAGTCATGGGTAGCATGAAGTGAGATTTCTTTGTGCTACTCAAAATAATGTGCAATTTAAAACTTAATATATTGTTTATTTCTGTTAACTGTGGTTAACAAATTGCAAGAACCAAAGCCGTGGAAAAAGGGGGACTATTGTACTTTTCAATTGCAAAAGATATGTACCATATACTAGAGCATATGTGAAAGTACCCCTTGATACTTTCATGTTAAGAAAAATTCCTAGTGGCAGATTAATTGCATTATTTTGCCCTTGTGATTTTGAATAATTTTTACTAGTTTTTTAATGGTCTTTTATGTGAGTTTTCTATCATATGTTACCAACAATCATAGCCAGAAAAAAAAAAAAAAATGGTAATTGTAATTGGCTTTTGCTTTTGTTTTAGCCTGAAAGTGAAATTTCAACCACAGCTGAAGATTACAGTTCAGAGGTAAGACTAAATTATATCATGATTTCAAATATCATTGTGAAATTGATGTTTTATCTTATTGTAATTATTGATTATTGCTATTTTATTTCTTATAATACATGCTTCTATTATATTTTTACAAATATAATAAAACCTATATATGTATTATATATAAAACCTATATATAGTATTTTATGTATTATATAAATATATATAGATATAATATATATATAAATGTACAAAACTGCTATATAATATAATGTAAATGACTATAAAATGTAAGGGTTATGTTTTACCGATACATCTCTCTTCTTTTTTTTTTTTTTTTGAGACAGTCTCACTATGTCGCCCTTGATAGAGTGCTATGGTGTCACAGCTCACAGCAACCTCAAACTCTTGGGCTTACGCGATTCTCTTGCCTCAGCCTCCCAAGTAGCTGGGACTACAGGCGCCTGCCACAACCCCTGGCTATTTTTCTGTTGCCATTGTCATTGTTGCTTAGCTGGCCTGGGCTGGGTTTGAACCCACCACCCTTGGTGTATGTGGCTGGCACTGTAACCAGTGCTATGGGCACTGCACCACATCTGTTTTCAGATTGTTAGCTACGGTCTTAAATCTAAACCCTGTTTTAATTTCTAGGATATGTGACTGTTACAAGATACCTATGTTTAACACAATGAAAATGTCATGGTATAGGATATTTCATTTAGTAATACTTAATGCTTGAATTCTAGTTAATTATATAATTGTGTTTATTGAAATTAATGTTGTAGTGGTTTTTATTTCAGGTGATAAAGGCTAATATAATCATTGGTCACTTTGAAAAATACTATAAAATTTACTCGTTATGCATTGGTAACAAGGATATGTCATTTTATTTTTTCTTATTCTTTTAGATGTGATTGTCATTTCTTTGGTCCAAATTAGAACATGGAAAAGTATTACTCTAAATCAGCAGTTCTCAAGCTGTGGGTGGCGAGCCACAGGAACTGTATTAAAGGGCCGCGGCATTAGAAAGGTTGAGAACCACTGCTCTAAATGATTCCGCAACTCAATGTTTTCAATACATCTCAATTTATTGTAGGTTTCTAATAAGAAAAAAATAGCTCCATGTTCTTAATGAACATTACTATTTTAGATTGCTTGATAGAAGCAAAAATACTGACACATCAGAAGTTTATGGAGTGGAATGAACTATACTTACTAATAATCTGGTCAGAAAATAAGTAATCAACATTAAATTACTAAATTGATGCCTGATTTAGGCTATGTAAAGTTGCCCCTATGGGAGAAATATCTTGATTTAAAATCACGGCTTCCAGTTCAGATTCTACTTTTGTGACTTTAGATGTGGGTCCATACAGCTGGCCCTCTGTGCACATGGGTTCTGGTTTCAAGGATTTGACCATCCATGGATCAAAAGTCTTTGGAAAAAAAATAAAAACAATAACACTATAGTGAGAAATAATGCAAATAAGAAAATACATTACATCAACTATTTCTATAGGAATTACATTGTATAAGGTATTACAAGTAATTTAGAGATGATTTAAATGGGAGGATGTGCATAGATCATTTGCAAATACTACCACATTTTATATAAGTAACTTAAGCATCATCACAATTGGTATTATTTTTCTGGAACCAATTCCCCTGCAAACACCAAGAGATGACTGTGAAAATACTTTTTCCTTTCTTTAATGACTTAATACTTATACCTGTCTTTCTTGGTGAAATTCTCAGATGCTTTGGTGATTGAACTACCTATATCTTTGACACCCCAGAAATTTGCAAAGTGCATTTTTTTCTTTACACTAAAGTGAAAAATTTTTATATGCCACTTGGCATATCTTTCAGACTATCCCATACACACCCGTGAAATTTGGTTAAAATTTATGTAGCCATTTTCTCATATTGGGATAATAGGACAAAATTTAATTTTATTCATACCCATTTGAAAAGCAAAAAAGATCATGATTTTCAGGTTTTCTTTATGAAAATGTAAATGAATATTATTGAAAGTTCTTACTACAGTGAATTTATTTATTTTTTATTTTTGAGAGACAAAGTTTCACTCTGTGCCCTGGTTAGAGTTCTGTGATGGCCTAACTCACAGCAACCTCAAACTTTTGGGCTCAAGTGATCTTCTTGCCTCAGCCTCCAGAGTAATGGGACTATAGGCGCCTGTTACCATGCTCAGCTTTTAGTTGAGATGAGATCTCTTTCTTGCTCAGGCTGTTCTTGAACTCCTGAGCTCAAGCAACCTACCCTGCCTTGCTCTGTTTCCCAGGGTGTTAAGATTACAGGCATGATCCAGTGCATCCAGCTACAGTGAGACTTTTTTTTTTTTACCTAAATGTTTTTATTTAAAAAACTGATGGAGTCCCGGCATGGTGGCTCCTGTAATCCTAGCACTCTGGGATTAAGTATTATTTGTACTCTACTTTTTTTTTTTTTTTTGAGACAGGGTCTCACTATGTTACCCCCAATAGAGTGCTGTGGCATCACAGCTGACAGCAACTTCCAATAATGTATATAGTTATGATTTAATAAAAAATTAAATTAAAAAAGAAAAGAAAACTATATTACAATTGTAATACTTAAGTTACAACCTCCAACTCCTGGGCTCAAGGGATTCTCCTGCCTCCGCCTCCCAGATAGCTGGGACTACAGGTGCCCACTGCAATGTGGCAGTTCCTCCAGTTGGAGGTTGTAACTGAAGTATTACAATGGAGTAATTGTACTCCATTACTGATGGAGTACAATGGACTCCATTACTGATGGAGTCCAGGCATGGCGGCGTCTGTAATCTTAGCACTCTTAGAGGCTCAGAGAGGCAGATGCATTTTTGAGCTCAAGAGTTTGAGACCAGCCTAAGCAAGAGCAAGACCTCGTCTCAACTAAGAGTAGAAAAACTAGCCAGGCGTTGTGATGGGCACCTGTAGTCCCAGCTGCTTGGGAGGCTTAAACAAGGGTATCACTTGAGCCCAAAAGTTTGAGGTTGCTGTGAGCTGTGAGGCTGCTACACTCTACCCAGGTCACAGAGTGAGACTGTCTGAAAAAGAAAACAAAGTAAACCACTGAGGGAGATTATGTGGTCCAGAAGGAAAAATATATATATATGTATATGTATGTATATATAAAAACTGGCTTGGCACCTGTGGCTCAAGTGGCTAATGTGCCAGCCACATACACAAGCTGGAGGATTTGAATCCAGCCTGGGCCCGCTGAACAACAATGATGGCTGCAACCAAAAAATAGCCGGACATTGCGGCGGGCACCTATAGTCCCAGCTACTTGGGAGGCGGAGGCAGGAGAATCCCTTGAACTGAGGAGTTGGAGGTTGCTGTGAGCTGTGATACCACAGCACTCTATCCAGGGTGATAGCTTGAGGCTCTATCTCAAAAACAAAACAAAACTATATATCTGTGGTACCTAGTAAATGTGATGTGTTTCAAAGTAGAGTACGAATTGGCTCAGCACCTGTAGCACAGTGGTTATGGTACCAGCCACATGCACCAAGGCTGGCAGGTTCGAACCTGGCCCGGGCCAGCTGAGGCAACAGTGACAACTGCAACAAAAAATACCTGGACGTTGTGGCATTCACCTGTAGTCCCAGCTACTTGGGAGGCTGAGGCAAGACAATTGCTTAAGCCCAAGAGTTTGAAGTTGCTGTGAGCTGTGATGTCACAGCACTCTATTGGGGGTAACATAGTGAGACCCTGTCTCAAAAGAAAAAAAGTAGAGTATAAATAGTACTTAAATATAAGCACTACAGATAAAATTTAGAATGGTATTTATCATAGTTGTTGACCATAGCTCACAGTAGTAAATATATTTTACATATATATGTGTAATTTCATATATACATTTATACAGAGGGTGCCAAAAATGTATACACATTTTAAGAAAGAAAAAAACTATATTAAAATTGTAACACTCAATATATACCAATAACATTTGTTATCTTGTTTATTGTATCTTGTATCTCTTATAATTAAAGAAGTCAAATATGACTTGAGTATTACAATTTTAATATAGTTTTGTTTTCTTTTTTAATTTAATTTTTTATTAAATCATAACTATATACATTATAGGTAGTTTTTTCTTTTCTTAAAATGGGTATACTTTTTTTTGGAGCCCTTTGTAGTTACATATATATCTATGGTTATATACATAATCAATTGTATATGAATATATACATATACACTTTTTTCAAACAAGTTTCAGGAAAGATACTCTTACAGTAGTCATACTTTATGGTTTTAACGCTGGTCAAAAAACCTAAACTGATTAACTGCCTTGTAATTTGAGAAAAACAGTGACTTAGATTACAATTTACATTGAAAAAGGTAATTATGAAATAATACTTGACAGATTTGACCTGATTTTAATTATAACCCTTGTAATACTATACACGTTACATCTGGATTCATGTGGATTATCTTTTGAAAAACTTACCTATTCTCTGTGTTTTAAAAAACAAAAGAAAAGTTGATAGTTTGTGAAAGGTTTGAGGTGTCTCGTCAAGGTTGCTGAAATGAATACTGGCTGGATCCATGATGCTCTCGGCTAGTTTTGAGGCTTTAGCTACTCCATTTAATGAGGTTTGACTGGCTTGAATGAACTAGAATTACAGGGGACTTCTAAGCCATACTCATCCATTTCAGAAAGCTGTAGAAGCATCATCAGACCGAATTTATAATCTGAGGAATAAATCTCACACTGTAATATTTTTTATATTGGAGTTCTTAAGGAATTATCTCTGAGTGACATCAGCAAAAAATGAGATTTCTTTCTGACAATACATAAGTTATAATTTCACTACAAACACCAGATTTGCAACATTTAATTATTTTGACAGCTGTGGTTTGAATTTGAGTATTCTAAATTTAGAATCATGTAGTTTTAATCATAGGTCACATAACCATCTTATATTTTGCCTAAATGTCACTGTCATTTTTCTGATAAGTAGAGCGATAAGATAAAGGAAGGAAGAGCTGGGGTACTTTGGAACCAGTAAGTTATATTTTGAACTTCTTCACCTTTAAGCTGTATGAACTTGGCACATCAATTAAACTCTGAAATACAGTTTCCTTACCTATAAAATGGGGTAGTGGTGGTTGTAATGATGTCTACCTCACAGGATAGTGGTATACCTCACAAAACAGTTGTCCAAATCTTGAGATATTTAGTATGTGTTTGTCATAGAATAGATATTCAGCAGTTAGATTGCTTTATTACTCTTCTCAAGAAATGTGCTTTTTTTCATTGTCTTTATAAGAAACAAATGAGTCATGAAGATCCCTTTAACAGATTATTCTGAGAAGGATTTCAGACTGTGGTAATATACAGGATGTCCATAAACTTCGTGTGCAGTTTGCACACAAACTTTATGGAAACCCTGTATTTCACAAGAACTTAGTTTGGAAATTGTAGGTAATAGGTAAGTATGGCATGTGTTTAATGTTTATGACTTCGGTGGCTAGTATATTCATTGGGTTAAAATTGGGTTCACTTCTAGAAAGAAGTAGTCAAATAATTTTATTCCCAGATTTCTTCTATATAAATATATATCCAAATATTGCTCTAGAGAAATAAGACTAAAAAAAAACTTCTTTTCTTATAAATTAAACTATATACAGTCATCTTCACTCCTCAGTGAAAGAACATGTCCAGAGCACCATATTTACACAAAGTATTTTTTATACCCTTTGAACAGGGTTATTTGGAAGAAATTGGGAATACTACAGGCAATATAGAGATAAGCAAATAAATATGCTTTGCTGAGTCTAGAAAGGTGAAATGATAGCAGAGTATGCACTCCATTATAGATTTCATCTGATTATTCAGTCTTTCTTAACCAAGTTGCTTGTATGATTTATGACATTTATGAAATGCCTGGAGTTGGAGACATGCCCATAGACTTCATATAGAAAGTAACAGGCTTAGCTTCTCAACTTTGACTTTAATGACTAATGATCTTAGTCATTAGTTACTTGACTCCACCTCCAGGTGTCAGGCACATTGAACTTTTCCAATTTTCATGATCTTTTGTGAGCCATCAGATTCTTATTTTTTATAACAACATCCACTATTAATGTTTGTTATTTTATGTATTCCCAAATTAAATATAAGTCTTAATCATAAATAAATTATGAAGAACTCTTTTATGTTTTAAACTTAATGTTCACTAAAAGGATGAATTGTTATTTGTTTGTTAGTTTGATTTCAGGTTAATGTGAGAGTACAAACGACCAATTCACAATATTTAAATTTGTTAGGTAGGGTGTCTCTGGTAGTTATGTTCTGCGCCCAGTTGTGCCATACACCCCTACTTTGTGCCATGCAGTGGGAGCACACCAGATGCTCCTCCCCTTTCTCCCTTTCCTCATTCCCCCTGCCTCCAACTTGAAATGAATTTTTCTCCTATGAGGATGTGAATTAGATTATCCACAAGCTTTATATTAGTATTGAATACTTTAGACATTTGCTTTTCCATTCTTGTAACACTTCACTGAGAAAATGTGTTTTAACTCCAAGGGCTGAGTTTGTGTAGTTATACAATGAAAATTACCTTTTTCCTGATTCTTCCCGAATAGCAATTTATTATCTGATACTTACTACAACAGAATATTTTAAATTTTAAAATATGCCTTGCTTGAACTCACCTAGATCTTTAAGTTATCAATACAGATTAAATCTGTGAATTCAAAAACAATTTATTAACGCAGTCTGAAGCTTAAATAACCATGAGAAATGCTGGAGTGAAAAAGGACATTAAAGGAAATTGAGATTTTTTTCAGTTGAAGGACTCTATTAATCTAATCTTCATGTTTTACATTATTGATTTACTTTCATATGAAGATTTACCAAGTACAATAAGAAAAGGCTAATGTTAAATAAATATTTTACCCTATCAGGTAAAATAATTGTCTTTATTGAAAATAGAATACTTTGGCTCCACACCCATAGCACAGTGGTTACAGTGCCAACCACATGCATTGAAGCTGGCAGGTTTGAACCCAGGTAAACAACAATGACAACTGCAACAAAAAAATAGCCGGGCGTTGTGGCAGGTGCCTGTAGTCCCAGCTACTTGGGAGGCTGAGGCAAGAGAATCGATTAAGCCCAAGAGTTTGAAGTTGCTGTGAGCTGAGATGCTATGGCACTCTACTGAGGGCTACATAGTGGGACTCTGTCTCCAAAAAAAAAAAAAAAAATAGAGTACTTTATTGCTAACTATTAATGATCCTGATAATTTGTTGAGTGTTCCTATTCTATCTTTGGAATATAATTTGGTTTTGTTTAGTTCTTGGTGATAATATTTTATTACCTATTTTGAAAAATGGTTATGTAGTATTTAATACAGATGAGTTGTTCAAGTATAAAATTTGCTATAACAGAATTAGAGAAAAATTACATTGAACATTGGCTATATGAGGTATTAAATACAATTATTATAAATAGATAATTATAAGTGGGCAACTCTGTTTATTATAAAAAGATAACTAATTTCTATAATACTGATCTCAGTGCCACTTAAAGGAATATGCATTGCTTTATATGATGATTTGAAGAGACAGTAGTATCCCCTTATCAGTGGTTCTACTTTCTGTAGTTCACTGTGGTCTGATAATATGAAGTAGATAGTTTCAGAATAAAGTTTTAAATTGTGCCCCATTCTGAGTAGAATGATGAAATCTGAGATGTCAGCTATGCCTTTGTACAGTGTATCCATGCTGGACATCCTGCCTTCCTGCCGCTAGTCAGCAGCCATTTTGGTTGTCAGATTGAAGAAACATAGTGTGTACAGGTTTGGGTACTATCTATGGTTTCACATATCCTCTGGGGGGCTTAGAACATACTTTCCATATTCCCCAGTGATAAAGGAAGAATATGGTGTTCATAAACATCCTTGTCATTACACTGTTAGTCTAAAGTAAAAGTTTTAGTAGACGTATCAAAATACATCATTTCAGGATCAAGAAAAGCTAATTGCAACTTAGAAGTACTGTATTTAATTCAAAAGTTATTGAAAATGATGATGTTAATATTTTTGTAATTAAAAAAAAATTTTTTAGAGACAGAATCTTGCTGTGTTGCCCAAGCTGTGGTACAGTGGCTATTCACAGGCACGATCATAGTTCATTTCTGCCTGGAACTCCTGGGCTCAAGGCATTCTCCCACCTCAGCCTCCCAGTAGCTGGGACCACATGTGCCACCATGCCCAGCTTATTGATATCAATAATCTTAAAGAGTCAGTATTCCTGCTTTCTGATAGTTTTCACCAGTTGCAAATTGTTCTTATCATAGATGTGATTTTTTTAAACTTTAGCTTTGATTTTTCAGAAATTATCCTTATGATAATAGCAAAGGAATCAAATTGATAAAGAACTCTTAATTAGGATTTCC